CATCTCAATTCAGTGAACAGATAACAATTTCGATACCGACCTGACAGGAACTGTGAAACAGGTAACTGGGACATACATATCAATCATAACAGTTGTGCTCAAAATTCTCTGACGTACTTAACTGTTTGTTATAACCTATTTTTTAAAGACTGCAAAAAAATTTTTAAAAAAAACGTTTATAGTGGTTAGGATGACAATCAAATTTTTCCCGATTGGTATCATCTGACTAACGCTAATACGTCACTAAATTTTCGTTGTTTCGCGCAAAAGCATGACCTAAGCGAAAGTCTCTTCTGAACATGTACGTTTAGGAGCGTAGATAATTAAATGCTGCTTAATAACCAGTGATTCAGATCTTTAAGAAGAGAATATATGCAAAGTCAAAATTACATATGACAAGATCCGTCCAAAATTGACAGATGTCATCACCATTAAAAAAAGATCGCTAAATATGATTTTTCCTAAAGAAATAGCAACGAAGCTGTTTGTAGGATTCTCGAGTGGCCAAGAAAGAATAAGAAAAGTGGAGTTGCTAGCCGCTGGAATGCTAGTCTCCCAGAAATCTTTATGATGGATACTCTTTGTTGTACCTTTCCTTTATGGTCAGGGAAGATCAACGGATAGAGCAAGAGACTCGCAATCGACTCAGAGGCTCTTTGGGTTCGTCATTCAGTTGTGTTGTCGATTCATGACTGAGGGCAAAAAATCAAATAAAACAGATGATGAAAGTGTCTACTGCCGATATGTTCTTCTAAAATACAGTTATTCTTCTGGAAACGTGAAAATAATAAATAAGTCAGACATCAAGCGACCATATTACGACAAAAAGCAGTATGCAAACAACACGAAATGATTGATAGTTCTAGGCCATTTGCGACATCAGCATGACAGTTCATATCAGGTCTGTGATAACACTCCAGCATTCATTCATCATGACGGAAGAGCAGTATTCACTGCACACTGAACATCTGCCACTAAAATATTAAGTCATCCCTCTATGAGTCGTGATAGAGCTCCAACTTTCGCTTATTAAAATGGAATAAACATTCGATTTATTTGTACCAGAATTTGGATATGAGAAACGAAACCGTTCATATTTTGGAACAGAAAAATCGAACGAGCAATGAATCTTCATCTTCCATTATGTTAAATGAAAACTACGACGCTAACACGAACCAGATATGAATTACCGGGCTGACGAGATGAGTGACACGAATCTGTCACGCATATGTCCTCTAGGTTACATCTTATTTTTGTCGTGATAAAACTACTTGATGCTGGTCTCATCATACGTATCGTCATGCTGCTGGTAGGGGAGCGAATAAAAAATTAATAAAATTATCAAAATTTTCATCGTGCTTGTTTGGTTGCCTCAAATGTGAATCAACAAAACAAACAGCATAGCAAAACGGCAGACCGTTCACTGAAAAGAGAGTAGAACGACCGGATTATGAGACTAACACCCCAAACCGACATTTTGGACTGTATTCACACGCCTGTGTACATTAAGTAAATCCATGGAATTTCCAAGCAAATTAAAGATGATGAACACATAGAACACATGATGCTTCAAGTTTCCGCTTATTGAAAATTTACTTGAAAAGCTAAGTATATTATGCACGGATATTGAGAAAAAAGATATTCAGGCTAAGCTCATATGTTAAGTAAACAATAAATATGTCGCATACTGCTCCAAGAAAATTATTCCCCTTTTTGCGTTGAGCCTTCTCTTGGACGACACAGTTAAGAGGTAACCCCCGCGGTAACCTAAGGGTACCGCGTACAGAAGCACCTGGTAGAATCACCCTTCCGGGCTGGATAAAGGATAGATATCAGGCCAAGAGTACTCCACTTGGTATTTATCGCAGAATAAACAAAACGCGTATTCCAAGGTTTGGCAGAGTTTTGTTAGAAAACTACTTTATCATCTCACCCCACTATGAAGACGAGGCAGCTCACCAGCGGGTGTAACTCTATCAGTGGATCGCCATACGTTTCAGGCGACAACTAAGGTTAGCACAAAACTCCGACAACAACAGGAAGTGGGAAAATGGAAATCAAAAGGTTCCATACAAAACTTCAAACGCCAAATAAGACAATCTTGCTCAAGCACATTGGGCGAATGGCACTGTCCGTCCTGTAATCCAAGCTGCAGAGATGAAACCATTAAAAACTGTTCTGAAACTGCATCATAAATACCAATGTACTGAAAAAACCACTCAGTATTCAGAGCTAAAAATCTTTTGCTTATAGTAACCTACTAAGTTAGTTAACGATGGGGAACGCCAATGCAATGTTGTTTTGTTCATCGTAAATACCGCATCGTCTTCTTTGTGCTCCTTCAAAAATCGAATCCCTGTACGTCAGTTTTCTAGTAGTCTTTTATCGTTGTGCTTAAAGATTCTTGACCATTTATGCGGTGAACAGGTCTCTGCAATGATTTCGAACAGGGATGTTCATCATCGCGTTCATGATGTGCTAAGATGGTTAATTCTGTAGCCATGTTTAGATCCCCAATCGTTGGACATGACCGACAGTTTCTCACGGTCCTTGTAAGCATATTTTATTTTTGTCCGCTAAATACGTTTTGCACCATTACGTTGCAAAACTGCATACCATGCGACGAGAGTTGGAATTTTTCGCTTGGCGATTGACTATCTAACAAGTTGTAGGAGTTAATATGACATATCCTTCTCTTTCCCATGAAACAGGGTACGAAATGGCGGTATTGGTCAATCATCCGATTGGCAAAATCATTTTTTGCGCTGCATACCAATAAACCGTGTTTCGCGCTATTTTTCAGTATGACAACCAATGTAAGAACGAAATTCTCTAACTACTTACTGCATTTACCCTCCTACAACAACAAAAGAATCACAACGTTTTCTTTAGAACTTGTCTGAAATCGGTGCAATATTATGAAAAAAATTTTCAGTCATGAAAGATTGTTCATAAAGAAACGCCAACATTTCGAGCCAATTTGTAATATCATTCTTCAGATGGTTGTGAAGCTGTCCTCAGGTCATAATATTTACAGGTGGTGTTGCAGAATCGACACTGAAAGATGTGAAAGAAGAACTACATCCACCATCTGCCAAAAATGCTCAGGCTCTTGTGATATACGCTAGCGTCTTTCTGCTATCACCAACTGTGACCCTGATAATGAACAGTAATAACAATCCATTACTGTAATGATCAACCACGAACACTGAAATGGTCAACAAGAGACAATGGTAATATCAGCTTCTATCGGACTCCGCTTAGTTTAGTGGTAAATCGATTTAAGAGAATGTTACTTTAATACAAATAAATCCTTGTATTCTGGATTTTCTGACAAACTGCTAGTTTTCAATACAGCTGGCAAGAATAATAATCTGCTGTTACTTCACCGCATTTGCTTAAACCGCACCGTATCCCTGTTTCTAATAGCCTGGAGCCGTGGAATAATCAAACGGTGCCCTAGGCTACTAGATGCAAGGGGACGATGCAACTACATCTTGTTTATCCGGAAAGTATCAAGAGACTGTTATTTTTGCCGGCCAAATTGAAGGTAACATCCTTTCTACAAACCCATATTACTGGGGTTCACTGCCATTACATATGCCTACAGATCAAGCTGTATCCGTTGCTGCTCGAAAAAGTTCATGTTCGACCTGACGAAGCGGTGCATCCCCATGCACTGTAAATGCTAAAAAACCATGGAGCTGTGGTCCGTTTAAACAATTCCCTAAACTCTAGTCTCCTGAACAAGCGACGTCGCAGCATTCCTGAGAAGTGGCAGGAAAGAGCACAGTACCTTGTTTGTAATCCAGATCAAACGACTAAGGAACCAACTTCTGTCAGTGATTATCTTTCGAAGATAGCCATCTAGGTAAAGGAAGAGTTCGGTACAGTCTGAAAATGGATTTTATTTTTCTTCTAAGTTCACCTCGATAACAAAAATGAAGCGAAACTTTACAGCGGCTCCAATGTCAGTCTCCTTTTGTACTTTCACGATTTGTAACAATTTAGTTTCTCGGATCTCATGAAACAGTGCCGACCTCCATGTCGATGCCAACAGACAAGAGTATCATATTTTTAGTCAAAGCAACGCCTGGAGGTTGACTGCAGTCTGTAACCTCTTGCTTGCTTCATAAGCCCATAGTGGTACCGATATGTCTATGCGGCATATACTCTGACCTACGATCATTCGAACGAATTCTTTACTGAGCTATCCTTCAGACGGTTCCAAAGCCACGAACACGCCACAACCCGAGAATGACTGCTCTGCGGCTACGCATATCACGATAAGCAAAACATCACATGTCAACCGCTTACCTGTTTGTTTCGGCATCAGACAAGCACAGCAGGGGCGATTCGGGCTGAGACGAAACGCAACTGTTGACTGACAGACTCGGCAGGCTGGCGTAATAGTCCGATGTCTGACTGACAGCAAAGCTGACCGTAGAATCTGAAATTTCATTCGTAAAAATGTGAAAAACATCTGCCTTAAAATGGAGCCCCCTAAAGCATCCCAAGTGCTAAATCACCATTCGGAAATCACTCATCTCTGTCATAATAACAAAACTGCTTTTCTGATTATTCATTACGGACACAATAACGTAGCCGCAAACGTGATTTACGGCCGTTTTACCACTTCAAGGAGTAATAAATACGAAATCGATAACAAATTCAATTTCCTTTATCTGTTTGACCGCTGTTCGTCGATTTCAAATGAATACTGCGAACAACATGAAACAGCGCATAAACAGCAGTCACAACAATGAACATCCTAGCACATTAACAGGTTCAGATTTGTGAAGTACATACAAGTTCGGAAAACTACCATGACAAACACATAAAACATGCATACGCCTAGAAGCTTAACTAAAACGTATTTTCACCTAAACTGAAGATTTGTGGGAAAAGAAAGAATTATGTCATTCTTGGTTTCGAAAACAAGACCCACGATGACATTGTGTCACTAAACAGCTCATGACCAGTGATTCTTCAACACGCTTCATCTCCTTGTATCAGGGCGCACTGTCAGCTGAATTGCATGGATAGCCACCTAAACCGGTTTAATACCGGTCGAGCGCTTCAAATCCGGTTGCAACAATGAGAAAGACTTCAAATCATAAGCCTGGCACATAAGAAATACAATAATATTTTAAATTTCCATCAACATTCAGTCACCGATCATCCAGTGTGCACTAGCAAAGACCTGTTGCCAGAAGCATTAGTCATGAAACGACCTAACATTAACCTCATTCCTTGTTTCTTCCTCTTTAAAAATGTCTTTAAATTTAAACCGCGCAGGTCTGCAAAAGAATTTACTGCAAAAATCGTACGTCCAACTAGAACTGACTAACATTTTAGCAATCACTGGTCCATCAGTAAAAGACGCATTGCACATATAATACAGAAGAACAAACGAAATACACAGCAATGAGACAGGGAATGAAGAACGACAAAGCAGAAATGGATGCAGGGATAAGAGGTTGAATATGAATGCAGATGAATATCCAAATATATGGGAATATATGAGAATCGATTCGAGCAAGTTTCACCTTTCCTGTTCGTCGTTGTGCAAAGTCCTAGCCACATAACCTTCTGTATGTTTCAGTCCTCGCAGAGATAGAGACATGCTGGAATCTTGCGGCATAAGATATTGAATTGCATTTTGAAAGAGCTCGATGTAGACGATAGATAAGATATGTAAAGAATTAATTTACAAAACTTTACAACAGATCTTACAATGAGGCCTTCCACGATGTTAACGGCATTCATATTGGCAGCTGACCTGGTCGGCGGACAATTTTCAGAGCTAATCGAAATATGCGTAGGTACATTTTACGGAAGGAGAATAAACATAGTGACGATTAGCATAAGTATGCAGACTCTTGGCAACAGTTCCCTGATTTCTTTCGGAGTTAATATGAAGTTAGATGTTCCAACTTTGATGACTACGTGTTCTGCTCGCGCACTGAATTGTGGACTTTCGTCTATGCTGATACGAAGATAGTTCGCAATGCATCTGAGAAGGTTATGATAAGCTGTTTCGGTTTGCATATCAGACAGCGACACGGTGAGGACACGGATTAAACTGAGAATCCCAACTGAGACGTCTTCCTCACGCGCGCCCTCAAACCAGGTGTGAATGAAGCAATCCACTACAACTTCCTAACGCTGTTTCTTGCTGGCTTCCGCAGATGATGTGATGATTCCAGCGCGTACCAACCGAAACCTTCCTAGTGACTTATCATTCTATAACGCAACAAGTTACGTGGTGCACATTAAAACTGATTTCTGTTGTTTCGTGAAATGCAGATCTGTTTACCGTACATTGCATAACACCTCAAATTTTGAGGAGGTTTGGGCTGATACCAGGTGATTTCGGAATCATGCCGTTTAATGATAAATCAGTTTAAAGTCGAGAGACCGACTCTGATACTGTTGGATTTCGTCCAACCAAGTTTTCTGCACAATCTAATTCAATGTAACTCGTCAGCCTCTGCAT